GTTCTTTATCACTCTTTTAGCCTTTAATGATACACTTTATCTCTTTTTCTGAAACTGGTAGCCAGGGAGGAGGGGCTTCCATGCATAAATCTCTGCTTAAGTGCTGTTTCTCTACAGGTTCTGTTAAAGCAAATAAACCTTGATAGTAATTCTTCCAATCCTTGTCTGAGATTAGTATATCAAGTGAAAATGTTGGTTCCTTTAATATTCCTGCTACAGAAAGCTAAAATATAGCCCAATTATGACTCTTTGTTGCTATTTCAAGTCCAGACCAAGTTGCAATGGCATATTTTTTTTCCTTCAGTTTTGTAAGTTTTTTATATTTCTTTCTAAGGCTTGAATCAGAGCAGAGGAAGACTTCTGGGTAAGTCTCATTGCTGACTTCAGTTTTTTTAAACAGTCATCATTCAGTGTCAAACCAGGATGATCTGTGTCTTATAATTATTTATAGAAGGTTTAATTGTTACATGTTTCTTCAACATGTGACACAGATTTGTAAATGCATTGGAAACTAGTGGCCAGTCAGCTGTAGGTGACTGGATTATTGTAGCTCAATTTTTTGCATCATCTGTTTCAAGGCTATCTGTTATTGTTGTAGTATCAACAATAGGAGTGAGGGAGCTGTTCTAATTTACATATGGAGGGAGTTCCAGAGGGTAGAGGTGATCACTGAGGAGGCCCCCTCTCTTATCCCCACCAGGCACTCCTGAGATGTGGGTGGGAATAAGAGGAACCCCCCCCCCCGTTTGATTGTAGTGGCCAGGTAGGTTTATATGCAGGGATGTGGTTTGTCAAATAGTTTGGGCCTGAAATGTTTAAGGCTTTATAGGTAATAACCAGTACTCTGAAAGTGCATCAGCAGCCAGAGGAGCTGCCATAACACGGGAATTGACTGCTTCCTGTGTGGTGCTCCAGTTAGTAATCTGGCTGCCAATCTCTGAACCAGTTGAAGCTACTGAACTATCTTCAAAGGCATACCCATGTAGAGAGCATTGTAGTAGTCCAAGTGGGATGTGACTAAAGCACAGACAACCAAGTTTTAATTGTGCTCCTGGCTGCTACTGACACCTGAGGTTCCAAGGTCAGCAATGAGTCCAAGCACTCCCAGACTGCAGACCTGTGTTTTTATGGGAAGTGTGACCTCGTCCAACACAGATTGAAATCCTACATCTAGATCCACCTTCCCAATGACCAGGAGTATCTCTGTCTTGTCTGGATTTAATTTCAACTTGTTCAACTCCATCCAGTACATTACTGAAGACAGGAACTGGTTCAGGACCAGGATGACATCCCTGATAAAGTTGGGTGTCATCTGCATAAATTTGACACTGAACTCCAAAACTCCGGATGATCTCCCCCCCTCCTCCCCTCCATGCTTTCATGTAAATGTTAAACAGCATGGAGGACAGAATAGAGCCCCGATGGATCTCACAAGAACAGGAGTCCCCCAGAGCCACCAGCTGGGACCAGCCCTCCGGGAATAACCAAAGCAATTGTAAAACACTGCCCCAGTAAGGTGGTGATGAGGGGGAATTTTATACAGCAAAAGTGATAAAGAATAGGATGAAATTACAAAAAATGGGGGAAATTATGGAAGAAATTAATAAAGAAGAAAATCAACTTAAAAGAAATAAAAAAAGAGCTACAGAAAAATCTGGAATTGTTACATAAGCAAAGGGAATATTTAGAACTGGAAAAAAGAGCAAAACAATTGAAAGATATGAAACAGGACTTCTTTGAAAATGCAAATAAACCTGGAAAATTATTATCAAATAAATTAAGGAGAAAGAGGGGAGCAACATATGTAACTAAATTGAAGGTAGAAGAGGGGATGGTATTAAAAAATACAAAATTCTATAGAAAATTATACCAAAAGGACAAGACAGAAGAAGAAAAGATATCAAAATACTTGGGACATCAGGAAATTCAAAGAATCACGGATGACCAAAGGGAAGAACTAAATAGGGAAATATCAGAGAAAGAAATTTAAAATGCAATAAAAATTTGAAAACAAATAAAGCACCGTTGCCAGACAGATTATCTGCAGGATATTATAAGACTTTTGAACAAGAGTTAACACCATATCTGAAAAAATTATGAATGAAATTATGCAAAAAGAAGAAATCCCTATAACATGGAAACAAGTGAACATCTGTATAATACATATAGAGAACTTGACCCAGAGGAGGTCAAAAATTATAGACCAATATCAGTCCTAAGGAGCCCCCGGTGGCGCAGTGGGTTAAAGCACTGAGCTGCTGAGCTTGTTGATCGAAAGGTCGCAGGTTTGATTCCGGGGAGCGGCGTGAGCTTCCGCTGTCAGCCCTAGCTTCTGCCAACCTAGCAGTTCGAAAACATGCAAATGTGAGTAGATCAATAGGTAGATACTCCGGCGGGAAGGTAACGGTGCTCCATGCAGTCATGCTGGCCACATGACCTTGGAGGTGTCTATGGACAACGCTGGCTCTTCGGCTTAGAAATGATGATCACCACACCCCAGAGTCAGACATGACTGGACTTAATGTCAGGGGACTACCTTTACCTTTACCCTAAATCTAGATTATAAAATATTTGCCAGTATAATAGCAGAAAAATTGAAAAAAATACTAAGCAAACGCATAAAAGAAGAACAGACAGGGTTTTGACCCAATAGATACCAAAGGGACAATGTAAGGACAGTAATAGATTTAATAGAATATTACGAAATAAAAATTCAAAAGAAACGTATGTTCCTAGCCCTAAATGCCAAGAAGGTTTGAATCCGGGGAGAGGCGGATGAGCTCCCTCTATCAGCTCCAGCTCCTCATGCGGGGACATTAGAGAAGCCTCCCACAAGGATGATAAAAACATCAAATCATCCAGGCATCCCTTGGGCAACGTCTTTGCAGACGGTCAATTCCCTCACACCAGAAGAGACTTGCTCCTGACATGACAAAAAAAAAGTTACAGAATATTTTTTTAAAAAGAAAATACTGATATGAAGAGAAAAAGTAAGCATACCAGGATGAAAAAAAGGGAGAGAAGATTTGAGAAGCAAGAAGAAAAAGAGAGAACGAAGGCAAAGGAGAAAACCTCGAAAAAGTTATCTGGGAGTCAAAATATCTATATATTTATTATTATTATTATTATTATTATTATTATTATTATTATTATTATTATTTTCTTTAGTTTTCTTTTCTTTCTTTCCCCCCCTTTTCATACTAGATCACCCTATACTGCCTTATTCTGACTATTCTTTTTGGTTTTGGTTTCGTTTGTTTTTGGCTATTATCTCCTCCACCTTAAGGATTTAAAATGTTTTTTATGGAAAAATGTCAATAAAGATTATATTTTTTAAAAATTAAAACATTGCCCCCAAGACCTATCCCAGAGAAGCAGCCTAGAAGGATACCATGGTCAATGGTATTGAATGCCGCTGAGTGGTCCAGGAGAACCTCAAGGGACACACTCCCCCTACCTAGTTCTCTTTGTAGATCATCCACCATGGCGACAAATGGCACTTCAGTTCCAAAACCGGGCCTGAAACCAGATTGAAACTGATCCAGATAATGGGTTTCATCCAAGAGACATTGGAACTGAAAGGCAACCAGCTTCTCTAGAAACTTGTCCAGGAAGGGGAGATTTGAAACTGGCCGATAGTTGTCTAGTTCAGTGGTATCCAATGTTGGTTTCTTTTACTTTTACTTATTTTACTTACTACAGCATCCTTAAATATAGAGGGCATTATATCTTGAGTCAAGGAGGCATTCACCAGCACTTTCACCCACTCTGCCAGTCCCCCCCTCCAGGCGATTTAATTAGCCAGGATGGGCAAGGGTCCAGAGAACAAGTGGTTGTCTTCATTCTTTCCAAGATCTTGTCCATGTACTTGGGTTGAAAATAATCCATTAAACACTGATGTTGGTTCTCTCGGATGCGTCTAGGGTCTAAAAGCCTGAGGGTATCACAGCATGTTCTTAAGAGCATGTCAGAACATGTTCTTATAGCTTATACTTACCAAATGTAATTGCTCCTTGCAAACATACTATTAAGTGTGTTGTTATTGTCGATGTGTGCCTTCAAGTTGTTTCTGATTTATGATGACTGCAGGGACCATCTCATGAGTGGGGGGAAAGTGGGGGAAAGTGAAGGGAACCATCTTAACCTGTTCCCTACCTTTCCCCCCCCCATCTTTCGGGATGGCCAGACATCCCACGTCCTTTCTGCATCAATGACCATCTTTCCCCCACTTTAGCCCACTTTTCACCATTAGTAGACGGGTGACATCCATCTTCTGAAGACAGATTTGGGCTTTGTTCTATGCACTGTGGAAAAGGAGCACCACAGAGTCCCACCAGATGTGCCCTTACATCATGTGATGGCCTTCATGAGACTAACCATGGGACTCCATTTCCGAAGCACATGGAAAGAGAACCCTAAACCAGTGGGATTAAGTACTAGGTGAAACTACCCAGGAGGCTTTCCTGTCAAGGTTTGTTTAAAGCAGGCTTGCCTTTGCCTTACTCTAAAGCTGAAAAAGTGTGATTTAACCAAAGTCGCTCAGTAGGTTTCCATGGTTGAGTGGAGATTTGTACCCTGATCTGCAGAGTCATAGTCCAAGACTATGACTACATGGTAGCATATCCTTAAAAAATTATTACCAACTGATAGGCGGTACAGGTGACAAAGACAAGGACAAACAGATGGAAAAATAGGCTTTATTCTAGAGCTGTAACTACACTAAACTTCATGGTTTCACATTGATGTGGCATTGGGGGTGTGCAGAGGTGGTTGGAGTATCGAGGGATTGTTGTGTTGTTTTTGTGATGTGTGCTAGGGAAATAATTTAATCTTGTTGTACTATTGTACATATGGCAATAAAATTATTTTATTTAGTAGAATGAAACTAAACTAGTTTGGCAAGAGTCAAGTTCAAAATATGAGATGCATTGTGCAGACTCTCCATGCAAAAGAAAAGTTGGCCACCAATTGTTAGTACTGATGATAGAGGCAGGACTTACGCTTTCTTCCCACAGATGGCTCCCTGGTACCAGTTTCTACATGTGCTGAAATATTTCTTGTTGGTTCCCATAACTTGCTGGAGAGCGCAGACATTTGGCCTGGTGGGCAAAGAAAAGAAGGACCAATATAAAAAACCTTTCTCAGCATTAATATTTATAAAAGTATTCAAAACTAAAACTTTACAAAATTCCAAGTATGAGTGGGTTCTACTCAGTTTTTCATTTCCTGGCCTCATAGGAAATGAGCATGGTAAAAATCATCATATGTTTATATATACATGTCTTCTAAAATATTTATTTTTCATACTTTCTCCCTATATATACTGTTTATCAATGTGTGTGTTTTAGCAAGTGAACTTTTACTATATGTAATTTGCATGTTGTTTTAATTCAAACATATTTTCCTGCACGTTTCCCAGTAGTTATGTATCTTGTGTCTGCATTTGCTTTTAATGTACATATTTTTGTATGAACTGTCTTCATGGAAAATAGTATCAAAAAATTCTGGAAAATGTAAAGACAGTATGATACCCATATATTCAGGATCTGTACCCATAATTTCATTTATCCACATTTGGCAAAATATGTCTTGCTGGGCATTTTCTTGGGCCTCTATCATGACTCTGTGATATTCTTGGAACTTTATTTCAATAGATTTTACTATGGTTTGTAATTTCACATTTCCGTGTGAAGTTTGGGAATGCATCCCCTTCAGATACAGAAGCCATACTAAACCTGTTTCCATTCAATTATGATTTTTGAAGTCCAAATTTGGTGTGTTATCTGGTGTAACATTGAATAAATGTCTCTCCTATGTCTAACTATAACCAGAAGTCTATTTCCTGAAAGACAGCTTAGTTTTAAAAGTTGCATGGGACTTCAGACAAGTACAAGTCAGATGTATGAAATATTACTTGGATAGATAAGTCTTACAAGAGTTTTCCAGATGAAAAATGAATATTAGGTGCAAATGTAGTTAAATCAACATAACAACATCTGATAGCTCTAATCGTATGACCATAGACTTAATCCTTGTTCCTTAAGGTTTGGTTGTGCAAATTCGACTTGTCTTTCAATAGCCTGAATCTTGCTTGGAAATGTTTTCACTTTCCAAATGTTTCCAATATCCAGGTTAATGGTTGCTTATTCACATCTGAATATCCAATGCTGGAGACAGACACATTTCTTTTCTAGAGGTAGGAACAGTGTGGTAGGGTTTTTATTGGCACAGAAGCATCTGGTTTCTATTGAATATAATAGTTCAGCCATTTCTAATTTTCCATTTATGTCATGCAGAAAACTTTTATAGCAATCAAGTCTCATTAGCTCCATATGTGAGACCCAGCTGCTCATAGAGGGCAAGATTATCACACAATCTTTTGCTCACATGTTTTGGGGCAGTGGGCTGGTGGCAGTTGGTAGTATTTCAAAAGCCTGTAAAATTAATCTAGCCATGCATAGGAGAGAGAAGGATTCTGTTTCTCTCATAAAATATTGTACTTTCCTCAGCCAAAATGTCAGGCAGTTCTTAGATGTTTAGGAGGGGAGCTCTTGAGATCTGGGGTTCCATTCACACTGCACCATTATACAATTTGATACCATTGTAATTGCCATGGTAGCTTACAGTGAAACCAATACAATACCATTTGAAAATATACAAATATCAAAATAGAACTAATATTAACAGTATTAAAATAAACAGTTGAACCTCTTTATTCAAGTGCCACATCCTGGAGTCCAAAGGATACAGCCATGGCAGTTATAGCGGAATCATAGTGTTATAAGTGTGTATTGTGTAAAGCGTATTGTTTTCATGCCTTTCAAAAATGATAGTTCGTATCTGATCTGTGCCTTTACCTTGTAAAATCTACTGGCTTTTGCATTAGAAATGGTAACAAATGGAATGGGGTGTGAATAACATCAACACTTTCCCCCCTTGGGTGTCATTCTGCTCACAGCTGTGTTACTGAAGTTATATGGGGTGGGGCAGTGTGGATCATTTGGGATATCACAACAGTACACAAATAATTAACCCCATAACCAAAAAAATTGTTCAACTTTTTGCACAATTTGTTGCTTTATGATGACATTAAATGTTTTTCTGTTATTGCACCTACTATAGAATAGCAAGACAATTTGTTTTAGATGGGTATATATAATTTGAAAAATATAATTTACTTCCATTTTTGTCATAAATATTTGTTTTATATAGTCAAATATAACCATCTTAGAATGAACAATATTATTCAAGTATGCTTTTTGACTGTATTGGCCACAATAGTTCATAAACATTTGAAATAAATTCATAATTAACCTACGTGGAAGAAAGGAAGGGGTTTTGTGTGTCTGGCTTTCTGAGCATACAAGTATGGGGAAGGTGCCCAATTAACTAACGGACCACATATCACTAACTAAGCCTGGATAATGTAAAAGGGTTATTATTTGATTAGTGACCAATGCATCTTACTCACTCCGCAGTGTGGGATACATATTCTGCTTTGCCAGGAGGCACATGCATCTCTTCCCATTTCATATATTCTGGGATGGAGTTCTTACATTAAAATCAGATGTAGAGTTGGGCTCTGATATGCCCTAGCACAATCTAGAACCTCCTATAACATCCTCACAACAGAAGTGAAAATACTTATTTTCTGTTTATGGCTGCTTTAAAATATTTGAGCTGATTAACAAATTCCAATCTTGCTTTTTTCTTTTCATTAAAAGTTTGCATTGGTAGAGCAGCAAGAGCACATAAAACACACTTGGAACACTTTACTGTAGCTAAACAATAGCTTTTGGTGTTTGAAGAAAGTTGAATTTAGACTATAGGTTGTGAATACTTAGGTAGGAAATAAAATCCAGACTTACCCTTGTTCACGTGCTCTGATCCGACTGTGGCTCAAAATCTTATCATAATGAGCAGTGGCAGATTCTGCTGGATGAAAAGCTGATAGGAAACAAATACTGACTGTGGCAACCGAAAGGAGCTCCATCCCTTTTGCCTCTCTCTCACTCTCGCTTGCTCACTCGCTCCTGTCTCCTCCACTAGTCTGAAAAGAGAATGGGCAAGAGGCTCAAGAGAACTCAAAGTTTATATATATGCTATAGCACAGTGGGAGGGGAAATGTATTAACCTGAGACTTCGAACAACCCTCATAGGAAGAGGAAACAGCAGACAGTATTTCATCAGCCCCTGCATAAATGTTTAACGTAAACTCTGTTCTGGGATTCTCTCCCCCCTTTTGCTATATATTTCTAGAGGTGCCACACACACCCCTACTTTAACTGATTATTTAAGCAGTTGGAGAGACTGGGTTATTGTAACTATTGCAATATAGGCAATTTACACAATCTTTATGGTATTTTTATGAGGACTTTATTAGAATTTATGGTTCCAGGTTCATTCTTCATGTGAAAGAAGAGCAACTGGCCAACTTTTCCTAAATGGGCAATAAAGAGGAGATAAATGTATTTCTGGATTCCCTTACTATGGTTAAAATATGAATTACTGCTTTTCCACAGGTACAAACATCCCTTACATATAAAAAACCGCAGCCTTAGAAAAGCTGTTAAAGCATACAGTATGTATTCAGTAGAATCTAGGTCAGTGGTTCTCAACTTGTAGGTCCCTAGATGTTTTGGCCTTCAGCTCCCAGAAATCCTTACAGCTGGGATTTCTGGGAGTTATAGGCCAAAACACCTGGAAACCTACAGGTTGAGAACTACTGGTCTAGGTAAAACTTTTCCAGAATAACACTACTGTAGACTAAAGGAGAGTGTGTCTTGTATTCTCCCTGATATTTTAATTTCTATGTGTGGGGAATATATAGAGGAGTACTTGGTTATTAGATTCAAATTCTCCATGTTGAATATCTCTCTCTTGGTTACAGGCCATAAAACAGGAAGCTCTGCGGCTTCAAGAGAAGGGATACTAGGAAATACACCATGTTGCTCTTCTGTTAAGAAATATAATATGTGATTTTTGTTGAGAACGTACTATAGCTGAGAGTTTGTGGAGGAGAAAAATGATTAAATTTGAAAAAGAAGAAAAAAGAAGAATGAAAATATCTTAGGGTGCATCTAAATTGCAGAATGAATGTATATTGTCGAAGGCTTTCATGGCTGGAATCACTGGGTTATTGTAGGTTTTTCCGGGCTATATGGCCATGTTCTAGAGGCATTTTCTCCTGACGTTTCGCCTGCATCTATGGCAAGCATCCTCAGAGGTAGTGAGGTCTGTTGGAAGTAGGAAAATGGGTTTATATATCTGTGGAATGACCAGGGTGAGACAAAGGACTTTTGTTTGCTGGGGCTAGATGTGAATGTTTCAGCTGATCACCTTGATTAGCATTCAATGGCTTAGAAGTGCCCGGGGGGAATCCCTTGTTGAGAGTGATTTTAAGTGCCTAAACTGGGCTCTACAGGCCAATGGATACTCCACCTCAGACATCAGAAGAGCTGCAAGACCGAGAAGAAGCCGCGAGAGTAAAAATGAAGATCCACCCAGAGGAAAAGTGTTCTTGCCATACATCAAGGCGGGAACCACTGACCGCATAGGGAAGCTGATGAGGAAACACAACATACAAACAATCTACAGACCCACCAAGAAAATCCAACAAATGCTACGTTCAGCAAAGGACAAGAGGGATCCTCTCACCTCTGCAGGAGTCTACCGTGTACCATGCAGCTGTGGACAAGTCTACATAGGGACCACCAAACGCAGCGCCCAGACACGCATCAAGGAACATGAAAGGCACTGCAAACTACTCCAACCAGAGAAATCAGCCATAGCAGAGCACCTGATGAACCAACTGGACACAGCATATTATTTGAGAACACAGAAGTGCTGGACCACTCTCACAACCACCATGTCAGACTACACAGAGAAGCCATTGAAATCCACAAGCATGTGGACAATTTCAACAGAAAGGAAGAAACCATGAAAATGAACAAAATCTGGCTACCAGTATTAAAGGACTCAAAAATCACAACAGCAAAACAACAGAGGGGAAACAAACAGGCATAAAATCACTCTCAACAAGGGATTCCCCCCGGGCACTTCTAAGCCATTGAATGCTAATCAAGGTGATCAGCTGAAACATTCACATCTAGCCCCAGCAAACAAAAGTCCTTTGTCTCACCCTGGTCATTCCACAGATATATAAACCCATTTTTCCTACTTCCAACAGACCTCATTACCTCTGAGGATGCTTGCCATAGATGCAGGCGAAACGTCAGGAGAAAAATTGCCTCCAGAACATGGCCATATAGCCCAGAAAAACCTACAACAACCCAGAATGAATGTAGTTTGATCCCACTTTAACTGCAGTCTGACCCCACTATGCTATGGCTCAATGCTCTGGAATCAAGGGGGTTGTAGTTTTACCAGGTCTTTACCCTTCTCTGTCAAAGAATACCAGTGCCTCGCCAAACTACAACTCCCAGGATCCCATAGTGTCAAGCAGAAAGGACCATCTCAACATTTCAATATTTTCCCACCCCCTTGTATAAAGACGTATATGGATAAAAGTGTTGTAATATTTCTGGAGATTGTATTCTGATTAAAATTTACATTATGCAATTATTTTTCAAACGTAACATTTCATGTTCTGGTTCAAAGCATATTAAATAAATAGATTACATCTATCCCTCCACATTTGCATGTTTCATTGTGGATTTGATTATTCACATTTGATTAATATGTTCTGTCTAAGAATCTCTTGATCCTCCAGTGTAACTCGAATTCAACTTCCATCATAAAATCATGCTGGAGGACATAGATTCTTAGAGAGGACACTTCCCTAGATATGTATACATACTTAAGCGTGTTTCTAGCAGCAGATGACTATAGTTGCACAGAAGATCTAGAGACTCCTAGAGAGAGGCTAAATATTAGTGAGTTTAAAATTTGTGTTTCCCCCCTTTCCGGTAAATGTGGAGGGTCTTTCCACCGCTGCACCAACCATGTCTACATTGTCCTTATAACCAAATCCATGCTTTGCTAGAAGTGCCTTGGTCAACCAGTGTGGACCTGTCACTCCACAACATCTTTTGAAGTGGGAGGCAGGGTGTCATTCAAATTCTTCTATGAATGTTGTCTGCATTAAGCCCTAGAATCTGCAACCATTCTCAGGAGTAAGCAATATATTTTTAAAAAAACTGTATTTCAAAATCCCCCCAAATTGAAAATCCAAAACACTTCTGGTCCCAAGCATTTTAGATCTTCAGCTTGTTCCAACACACAGCCAAAATGAAAATGGGGGGGACGGGACACCCATTATTCTTGTTCCCATTACATGTATTTCAAGCCTTACCCTAAATAACCAATATTTTCAGTCTTCTTTCAATGAACCAATGGCAGCACATTTTTGTGTGTGTGAAAGAAACCTTGTAAGAAACAAAATAAAAGCCACCCTTCAAAGAAATGTTAATCAAGACTGTGAGAATTTAGATTAATTTCCCTCAGTAATGTTAATTGCATTTCTCTGGAGACCTCTAGTGGGGAAAATCTTGTAAGCATTTTAAACATTAAGAAGCTTGCATGGACATTTGCTTGAAGTGATGTTTCTTTGATTTCAGTTTCCCAAAAGTCATCTTCAAAGATCTTTCATTTCAGCATATGAGTCTGAGGGCCCTCCCACACAACAATATAACCCAGAATATCAAGGCGGAAAATCCCACAATATCTGTTTTGAACTGGGTTGTTGGAGCCATATATTCCAGTTCAAAGCATATATTGTGGGATTTCCTGCCTTGATATACTGGGCTATATGGCTGCGTGGAAAGGCCCTGAGCTGCTCTTGTGATTGTAGTTATCAGTTATCTGACTTCATTTTGTAACACATTGTTTTTCTGGATTGCCTTTTGCTTCTCTTATTTGACTGGATTTCTTTCTCTTCTAAACCTCCTTTTGCAAGACTCCATATTTCAATTAAGTTAATCTTGGATTATATTCTATATTATACACTGAAGAGGCTGTAGGAAGGAACGTAACTTTTATGATGTTTTAGACCATGATCTAAATTTGATGGGAAATCCAATCTTGGATTCTCCTTACTGGGTCTCACAGGGTAGTTTTACACAACTGCTTAAACTATGCCGATATGTATCCACATATCGTGAGCCGGTTAGCTGCAGAGCACATACACAAGCACTCCAGGAACCGGTTAGAGGCTAAGATGGTCGCCACAAAGAGTCTCTAAATGCAGATCAATCTGAACTCATGTATATATTTATTTTTCAGCAGCAGCATGTCCAAAGGGATCTAGGTTTGTTTCTGTGTTTCTATAAAATGCAGCAGTGCTACACATGTCCTGATGAGAGCTCTGTATTTCTCTGTTTCGAGTCCAACTGGATGGGATATAGAGTGATTGGCTTCAGTGATTTTATGGCTTTTTCCAGAATGTCCTTTGAGTTTTTTTAATGCACCGTTTCTGGCTGGATACATGCTGCAGAACACATTGGGGGGTACATGTTTTGTGGACATGCCAACCTCAAGTGAGCTTGGAATGGCATTTTAATGCCTGTATGGAACTTCACTTAGCCACCAAAGAACTATACACTCAAAAGTGGGAATACACACCCTCCAACATCAGAATATGGTAAAGTTTGCAGAAATTACACACAAACAAAGAGAAGCTGCAGTAGTTTGCTTTTGCTTGACCCTAGTGAAAAGAAAAGGACCCTCCCTCCCCATAACATTCATTACAGTATTTGCAAACTACTTCTGTAGAATTTTGTACAATTTACAGCAATTGAAGTAAGGAGAAGAAAAAGAAGAGTAGAAGACAGACACTGGATCATTTTAAAAGCAGCTAAAAAATGGACATCAGGATTGTCTTCACCAAATCAAGACAGCTGTAGGAAATAGGAATAGAAACATTTTTCAAATTTAGCCATGAGTACAGAAGAATAGAATCTGAAGCTGTGAAATCCATATATCTGAACCATGCCATCAGCAGAGTGCATTTAAACTAGTACTAAGTTTGATCTAAGGCTACTTCCACACATCTGTATAAAATACCACATTATCTGCTTTGAACTGAGTTATATGGCAGTGTGGACTCAGATAAACAGTTCAAAGCAGA